GGTGGCTCCGCCCTCCTGTTGGGACAACTGCCTGCTTACTTGCCTGCCACAACTTGATCTTAATTGATTAATTGACTGATGTAATTAGCAGGAGGCTGCTTACTTTATGCGCCCCAGTGCCAGGGGGCACTATCTGCAGCTCCTTTTCCACCCCTACTCCGCAGCCCAAGCCTCACAGATGGTACTGATGTAGTTTTTGACCTGGGCCCTGTTGTGACTTGACCCTTTCCTTTGCTTCCTTGGGGCTTCTCACTCCTCACGGCCCTCTCTCCGGGCTCTTTACTGCCCCCTTACTCTGGGGGTTCTTACTGCCCCCTTACTCTGGGGCTGGGGCCAATGCAACCCAAATGCTGTGCCCTCTCTTGTGCCAGGGTCCCCACGCTACCGTGGAGTCCCTATGAGGCCTTCTCCAACCCCTAATAGCCTCACCCGGTCCTCCAGTGCAACAACAAACACAAAACACAAAGCCCCCGGGCTATAACATAAGAAGCTAAACTGTCTGGCCAAAACAACATTCACTCCCTACCGGGAAATACTCCAACCCGTCACAGCAATTGGGATGCTCATGCAGTCAGGGTTCTCCCCTCTCTCTGTACTGGCTGAGCTCCCCCTTCCTTGGTCACCAGAGGGGAACTGCCGTCCTGGCCTACCGCCTGGGCTTAAGGAGGGCCAAGCCCTGCCCCTTCCTGTCAGCTGGCCCCACTGGTTGCCCTAGCAACCAGCACCTGTGACTCTGGTTGCCCTGGTGACTGACAGCTGAGCCTCCCCCTTCTTGCCACTAGTGGTCTCTCCCGAGCCATTCTTCTGCTCTCAGGCGCAGGGCACCTGAGTGCTCTGTGACAGGGTAATAAAGTTTTTTTTGTTGCTGTTTCATCCATGTGTGTGTCCTGAGAGTGGTGGTGGGTAGGGGGTGTGTGGGTGGCAGGGCAGGTGGGCTGGAGGAGGGAGTGTAGGAGGAGGGGGTTGGGCAGGGCCTCCCACAGCCAGTGCCCTGGCTCCTGCTGGTGTGTGCACAGCTGTTCTGGGGCCTGGGCAGTGGGGGGACTGCTGAGGCCAGCAGGGCCAGCACCATAGCCAGCAGGAGCATGGGACACTGGTCATTGCTGGCAGGGGCTGGGCTGGAGCAACAGGGCACTGGGCATTTCTGGCAGGGGCAGCCCCATCATGGGGAGGCAGAGTAGGCAATATGCCTGTGCAAAGTGGCTGGTATTCACTTCAGATTTGGATTCAGCCAATTCAGGGGACAGCGATTCAATTCGGTGATTGGAATCACTGTCTTAAATCGATTCAGCCAAATCTGATTTGGAAATTCGACTGCCACCAAATCAGCTGAATCTGATTCGGAGATCTGGCCACCGCTGAATTGGCTGAATCTCCAAATCAAACTGGCCCAATCTCCCACCCGCTCTCCCAGCCCTGTCACCGGCTCCTGCCAGGCAGGGGGGTGATCCTGCTGCCCCTCACTGCTCCACATTGCATGGGGGGGGCTCTTCCATGAGCCCCCAGAGGCACCAATGGTTGCTGCAGTAGCCGGTGAGTGCTGGGCTTTTTATTTTATTTATTTATTTTTAAAGTGCTGGGATGCTGAGGCTAGGTGGGGCAAACATTTATGGAATGGGGAGAGTGGGCAGGGGTCAGGGGGTGCTTAGGTGGCCTGGGGGAGTAGGCAGGGGATGGGGCCTCGTGGGGGCCCCCCCATGGTCTCCTCCTTTGTCCTCCAGCCTGCCCCGTTTTTACCAGCACAGAGCCTGGGTCCAGCTCCCTGCAGCAATGAGCAGGGACTGCCTGAATCGCTGAATCTTCTCTGAATCTTTTCTAAATCAATTCGGAGTCTTTGAATCGATTCAGACCTTTTAATCAGTCTCCCGATTCGATTCGGATTTGGAGATTTGGCCGCTGAATTAGGCCAAATCTCCTCTGAATTGGATCAGCAACCAAAGCTTTGCACAGCCCTAGTAGTCAAGGAGGGAGCCTTGCTGCCTGTGTGCTGGACATGTGGCTCCTGGATAGAGAAGGGGCTGGCTAACGACCAGAGTTTCCCAGATGGCTGCCAGGTGGTGGCAGATGGCTCTGGCTTCAATATGGCTGCCAAGTGCTGGCAGCCATGTGGCTGGAGGCTGAACCTCCGGCTGGCAGCCACAGGGGCACATGGCAGTGCAGCAGGGACTTGGGACTAACTTTAGTGCCAAGTCTCTGCACATATAGACACTTGCCAAAAACTGATTAATGTGCATTAGCATAATGTGTATTAAATTGAGTCGCACTTAAATGCATGTGTAGACACACCCTAAGATGTCATTAAAATGAATACATTAAAAATACATTTAAAAACCTGACTCAGTCTTTTATACACAATTCCTTAATCCTTATACCTGGGTGGAACCCTACAAAAATCAATAGGCCTTGTAGGTATAAGGCCTGGTTTGTCCTGATCTCATAGCAAGATGAGGGCCTCAGAGGGGGAATAATCAGGAAAGCACCAAACATACCATGAACAGGGAATCCTTCTTTCAGCTGCCAAAAGTGCAAATCTGGAAGCATTACTCATGACTCAGAATTACTCATTATTCAGACGTTCTTCACATGTGTTGCTTATACTTCTAGGGTGGAGGTTTCAATAAGAGGGCAAGAAAACCTGGATTTTTCCTGGGGTTCATTGGAAGCAAAAGAATATTACAGAGATTTTTTAGTACTTTTCAATAGTAATTCTTTGACTAAAGTAATAATTTAGTTATGTAAAACATTCAATTCAAACAAAAGGCCACCTGAAAGTAAAACAAAATATTAGAATAGCTAAAAAATTTTACATCATTGCAGCTGTGCTGGAATCAGAGACACCGTATTACAGTATTTTCAGAACAAATAGTAGTAAGTAGTAAGTTTGCTATGTAGAGAAATGACCTGCCCCAGGTTGCACAGAAAGCTTGTGGTAGAACAAGGAATTGTGGGCATTCCTTCCAACTCCCATGCTTAACCCTATTCCCTGCATTGTTCTTCCTCTATGGGAAATGTGAACTATATCATGTTTTATGGGAGAGCACTTGTTTGTACCAATTCCATTTGAGCTGGTATTTACACATCAACAAAAACCTTTGTTCTCCAGTTATTGGAGTATATAATTGTCAATATATATGCATTAATTATAATATGGCAATGGTTGTACAACTTAAGACATCTTACTGTCCTGATCATGCAATGTACCTTTAAAAAAAAAAAGAAGTCAGAGTTAATTCCCCTTTGAGGCAATTAATTAAGCCAGTGGTGCTCAACCTTTTTGACCTACAGGTGGATGGATGGTGCTTAGGCCCTCTGCAGCCCAGATCTGGTTAATAGACCCAATCCGGAACCAGGACAGGCCCAGCAGGGCCTCACATAGCCACATGGAGGGGGTGAGGAGGCATGACCCAGCCCTGATCCAGCTCTGGGGGGAAGGGGTCATGGCTAGGCCTGAACTGGGCATGCAGGGGTGGGGAATGGCCAAGATCCATACAGGAGGAAGGAAGGGACTGTGTGCCCCAAGTCAGCTACGCAGGGGAAGGGGGAGTGGTTTGACTCCAACTCACTGTGTGGAATTTGGGATTTTAGCAGTGGAGAGGGATGGCAGTATTAACTGCCACGAAATGTCCCAGCCCTTCTGGAGTCCCGCAGGCTGGATTCCAGGTCTCTGCAGGTTGGAGGCTGAGCATCCCTGAGTTAAGCCATAGCTTGTTCTGACCTTACAAACATGATTCTAGGATTATTTTCCTTCATAGCTGAAATAGAATGCATCAAATTGTGCTCTCAGTTATTTTAGATCAGAATTTGAAATGTCAGATTTACATCCAGGTAAATATTGTTTATTTATGTTTGTCTTTTTTATTCTGATAAAACTAAACAATTTATTTCTATATGAATCCTTTCTTTAGTTTTTAAGCATTGAAAATACATTTTCTGCTTCAGTTTTTAGGATAGGTTGATTTTGTGTTTCATCCGATTGGAATTGCTATTGCACATGGTAGGATTTTTTTCCTGTTAGAGATAGTCTCTGGGTACAGTACATAGCAAAGTTCTGATCTTGTGTCACGTGGAAAAACCTGAATCAATGAAAGGATAGGTCCCAGCTTGCTTAGAATGATTCAGAATCTCCATTTCCCCTTTCTCCTTTGGACTGAATGCACTCTTATTGATCTTGAGATCCCAAAGTTTTGTAACGGTGAACTTTTTCTCCTCCTGTTTTGTGCTGCCTACTTTTGACAGATCAATATTAAGAAAATAAAATAATTTCACCTTTAATATAGTTCATATCTCTAATGTTTTTAAATGTCAGCTCTAAGCTAAGCATGTTAAAGATCATAAAAGTGATTTGTCTAAGGAGGAGTTAGGGACTGATTTGGAGTCAGACTCAAAGGCTGCAAACAGATGCTGCATTTATCTTGGGATAAACTGTTTTATCCTGGGTCAAAGTACAGCCATGCAGATCCATTGTCCCAGGATGAATCCTGACAAATTTTCCTAGATAAGAGGTAGTAACAGTTTACCTGGGACATTGCCAAATACGTCTACACAGTTATCCAGGGATTGCAGCATTGAATCAATGGCAGATATGTATAGAAGATACATATCCTGGGACACCCAATCCTGGGATATTTTTGTTCTGGGACAAACACAGGCACAATTTATCTAGGAACAAATCCCATCTCTGTTCTGGTCCAAAGCCCTGTGTTAATATCTGTGGGCAAGACTTTTCTTCCCAGGATGTTGTTAGATGTTTGGAAATCCAGTAGGTAAACTTCCAGTAATTTTGTACTGAGCCCATTGGTATATGATTTAATGGTCTGCAAGTATAGTCTAATTCTTCTCTGTTCAGCATTTAGCCCTTATTTTATAACTGGTAATCTTTTCCTGTGATTTGTTTGACTCGGGATAGTAACTTACACTAGTACATGCTTAATTTACCTTTACTTTTAATTTCCTTCACCATTAAAAATATGTTCCTTACTTCTTGTGTTGTCTATCTCCCAGTCACTGTATCTTGTTATACCTTTGTCTACCAGACTGAAGAGCCAAAGATCAGATTTATTTCTCCATGTAGGTACTTACAAACTGTAATCAACTCACTCCATAACCTCTTGAGTAAGCTAAACAGATTGAGCTTCTGAAATCTTTCACTATAGTGCACATTTTCCAACCTGTAAATCATTCCTCTACCTTTTATTTGAATCCTTTGCAATTTATCAACATCCTTCTTGAACTGTGGACACCAGAACTAGATACAGTATTCCAGCAGTGGTCACTCCACTGTTAAATACAGAGTTAATGCCATATCCCTCCTCCTACCTGAGATTCCCTTATCTACCATATTTTCTCACATACAACAAGAGTCACTGAAAGGTGTTATGAGAAACCTACATAGTCAGTTATAATTTCATGAATCCCATTTTTCACATATTTATTTAATTAATAGGCTACTTTGCTTTGCTGACACTACAGCAATTTGTTTAAATAAAAGCCTGAGGTACTTAGTCATATTGCAACTCATATCTATTCTTCCTACGTTGAGAAACTATTATGTATCACATGCCATTAACACCCACTGGCTACTGTGGGAGTGAAATCAGGGCCAGATTTCCTTTCAGTTAATACTCCAGCTTTCTGGACCTGTATGTTGGTTTCCCATTTGAATAGCCTGGAAACAGAACTAACAGCTGAGATGAGGACATCTTTATTTTTTAGAGGATTATGAACATTCAGTGAATATTCTTGTTTGTTCTTTTGCCTTCCTAAGGTAATGTTTCAGTGGGTCATGTACTTATAGACACTACATTTAGAAATGCAATAGCTTCTACATGTAAAAACATAGCACAAAAGTTCCTAGCAATTTTGGAACTAATCAGAGCTATTTCCCCAAAATCCCCGAGCATGATTAAACAGAGCACATTGTGGAATTTTTCATGTGGATTGGGAGGCAGTTCAAAGCGCTGTCAAAGTAAAGCTACAACTTCAAAAAGAACAGATGGGAAATGTATACCCAATTTCCACATGGAATGGAATGAGGAACTGAGCTGTCCTCAGACCAACCCTAAGCTGGAGGCAGGATCAATAACACTGCACTTCCAGGTATGTCTGATCACCTCATACTTCCCATATCTCTTCCCATCTATAATGTGAGTGCTAAGAAGTTTGGTATGATTTACAGTATCCCTACTACACCTGTCATAGATTCAATGGAGATTTAATTCTAATACAAGCCAGCACAGGTAGGATATGAACAGAAGGGGAAGATTAAGAACTGCTTCCAGTTGATAGACAACTCCTCAGTGAACTTGGAGTCTTCCTAAATCTAGCCTGATCCACCCAACTGAGAAGGATAGTAGGGATGACAAACTGTTGAGAGAAAAAGAATGAGAAAGAAGTTTCTCATTGTCTCTGGGCATTTGTACACGTGGTGGGGGTTTAGTCCTATGTGGTTGCATTCTATGCCCCCTAAATTGAAATGGTGAGTTTTTAATTGAAACGATGGGTTTTATTTTTCTGTCACTGTATACATGTCATTGTTCTGGTGTCTGCAGGTGCCTGCTCAAGACAGAAGCAGCGAGGAGCCTGATGCTTTCTTTTGGCGGAGCCTGCCTGCCTCTCTCGCAGCTGGGGGGTGAGCTGATAGATTAATGGTTGCAATGTTCCAAGCTGCAACGTTGTAAACTAAACTACATCAGGATGTGGTTTAGTTTGTGACAATGCAAATTTATTTAAAACCCCCAAAACTCGCATAAGTGTAAAGTGTGATGCCATTAAGCCACACAAAGGGAAATTTTCGTCATGTGTACACGTTAACATCATCATGTGTGCAAGTCTCCCTGTGCACAGCACCATAGTGAACAGTATACTGTTGTCCCAGGTGTTAATCTACTTAACTTCTAGCTCTTCTCCTACCAGGGTACACTGGTATCAGTCCATTGTCAGGAAAGCCTGTGTTATAAGTTGGGTCATGGGAAAAGTATTACAGAATCCAAAATCTAGAAGACAAATGAAGATCCCATTTGGATCTTGTTGATTTGGACAATAGTCTTTTCTTTAGTTGCACTTTCCTGCACTTGGATCTTGACCAGCTGTAGGCTGCCCAGCAGGTCATGTGGTTCAAATTTTTTGGAAAAAAAATGAAGTACTGTCCCACCAATAGAACTGCTCACACTGTGTTTGTGATTAATACAGAAAACCAAGAAATATTATTGGGATTCCTTATTCTATAAGAATTCCAGCCTCCTTTCCAAAGTGTAGGCACATGGTTAAGCATGGATAGTCTTGCAGGTATATCAAAGCCAACTTGCCTGATCCTGCACTGGTGTAAATCAGCATACTTCCATGGATTTGCACCTGAACTGATATTCAGCACCTGAGCATCTGATTCCAAATGCCCACACCTTCCTCAAACATGTGTGCACTCTATAGTTTATTTTCCCTTTCTGACATTAATTCTGCTTTTCCCTTACACTGACTCTCATAATACTTTCTGAAACAATTCTTGCATATGTTTGTACTTTGCAAATATCATATCTATCTAATGCCATTATCTGTATTCTAACTATCAGTGTATGCTTTCCATGATTTTTTAAGGCAGCACAAGATATATTTAGGTTTTATGGGAAAAAGGGAAGATGTACCAGAATAATTTAGTTATTGCTTTTGCTTTTAATATTAATCTAGGTCATGTTATTGCTTTGCTTTCATAAACACAAACATAGATCACTCGTTTTTTCTGCATGATTATTTAAGTGCTTTTTTAAAATACATATAATTATGATACAACATTATTTACCATCTGGCTGGTCCCTTACCTGGCAATAAACAGCTTTTCTTTAACATGTGTCCTTTACAGGTTTGACATTCCCAGCCACTCTTGCCCTGTTGATTTAAGGTAATCTAATTTCATGATTTGGACATAGTTTAGAAACAGATTTCCAGTTAAGATCTGCATCCCAAGGCAGCATTTTAAAGTGAATGTAAGGCATGTGGCTAGGTCCCAGAGATGATTTTAGAAACCTCAGCCATTAGTTGTCCTCCCTAAACTTTCTGCAGTTGCTAACCAGAAAGCAATGGTTTTATCTTGATGATTCACTGTTTTTTTCAGGATGGACTATAGAAAATAAAGGGAAATTTGAAGAGAAGACAAGGTAGGTGCTTCTGATGACTTATTTTCAAATTCTATTCTACCTGAATGTCATTAAATTCTCCTGGATATAATGCTTGGGCAGTGACTGTGAATTAAGTTCCATGATGCTAGGATTACGCTCTTATCAGTGTCTGAGGCTACCTAGGTAAGCTGTCTTGGGTAAGTCAACGTAAGCTTCATTCATCTCTTTCCCATCTCATGCTGTAGTCAAAGGTGTCACCTAGGGTGTGTGTGGTAGAACCAATAACAAAACTGTAGTCTCATGTGTCCCAGACTAGTACTTTTTTCCTTCTAAATTTACTTTGATATATTTTAAGCTTCTAGGTGTAAGAAAACATGGTATTTGGAGTTTTGGGATCTACAATTAAAATATAGTGTGCTTTGATTATTTGCTTTTATATTCTATTTCTTTTTAATCACAGCAAGCCTCTGTGGACATGTGCATAATCTAACTTACTCTAAAATTTGCTTGTTATATGGCTACAAACAATCTCTCTCAGTGTTATGGTAGGTGAAGACTGAAATCTTTTCATGCTCAGGTGATTTTTTTTGGACACAGCAGTATACCATCACATTCAATTAGCTTTGCAATCACAAATGTTAGTGGAGTAACAATGTAAAACTGGACCAACAGCAGTTTGACTATTTATAGTAATTTTACTCTTGTGATTAAAAAAGAGAAGAAAAATAGCATAGAAGCAATGATCCATCCTCTTTTTGCAGATACAAGATTAGAAATCAAAGGGAATCATCTTCAGAATAGTTTTATTTTGTTCAGTGTAAATTTGGTGATACTCACCCAGCAGGAAGTACCTTGAAATGTGTGGCAGGGTACTGTTTGTGCCTGCCACTTTAAGGGCCTGAAGACAGCCGTAGGCAGGTGCCTGATGAGGGCAGCCATTCTGGATTCAGGGCTGCCCATATAAACAGGGCATTTTGCTGCTGGAAGGCAGGCAACAACATTGCCTGGCTGCAGGTATCATCTGGAAGCAAGGGAGGAGCTGTATGGGGATGGTCAGAAGGCTCCTGGTCCTGGGCATGACCTAAAACTGCACCCTGCTGGGGCTGGGTGGCCTGGTGGGCCTCTCAGTGGTGTGGGAGTCCCCAGGAAATGCCAGGCCAGTTACCACCCTGGTGAAAGGTGGGTTGGGGTGCCTTAGCCCCAGCTCCCACAACTGGGTGGGTTACCCCCTTTTAGGGTCTGGAAGGTGGACCCCAGCAAGAGAGTGGGGCTGTAGACTCAAACCTGTCTTGACATCCCCCGACTGGTCCATGCTGGGGCCAGGACTGGAAGGGTCAAAAGGGCCAGGGGCTCACCGTGAGGGACACCCAGAGCTGAGGGCCTGGGGTTTCGACTGGCTTGGAGGTGGGCCAGGGCCAGTAGAGCCAAAGATCCCGGGGGGACCACACCCGTAAGGAGGAAGCAGCTCAGGGAGCTATGTAGCCTGGAATGAAGGCAGAATAGGATGCCTGAATGGAGGGATCCAGGTGGGGTTCAAAAAGGATTCTGGCGTCCAGTGTGGGGCCGGTGATTTGACAACAGCTGGATGCCATCTGTGAGGCTTGGGCTGCAGTGTAGGGAAGGAACGGAGCCACAGACAGTGCCCCCTGGCATCGGGGCAAAAAATGGGCAGCCTCCTGCTTAATTAACATCAATCAATTAATTAACAAAAGGGCATGGCGGGCGAGAAGGCAGGCAGCTAGCCCAGAAACAGGTGGGTGGGCCACAGGAAAATCAGCCCTGAGAAGGCCCCTGTTACAAAATGCTTAGATGGAATACCCCAAGTGCCTTCAAGAGAGGTTGCCTGGATGTAAATTCAGTGGAATTTGGCATTTGCAGTTTTAAGAGTCTTATGTTCAGAGTCAGGACTCATTTAACCCTAGCTGCACTATTCATCCCCAAATAATAACCACAGTGATTTGATTCCAAGCTTCTACAAGAAGTCATTAGAAATTACAAAAGTAATATAAAACCTAAGGCAGCATAATCCACTGGACAGAGCAATAAACTGGGGTGCAAGAGATAGCATTTATCTTCCCAGGTCTGCCAGTGCTTTCCAGAATGACCATGAGCAAGGAATGTTTCATTTTGTCTGTTTATAAAATGGGAGGGGGGAAGGTCTTTGAGATCTATGCATAAGATATGCAATTTAACAACTAGGTATTAATATTATGGCCACCATTAGGGAGGTGTAACCCATTTTGAATGAACTGCCATGCCACAGGACATGTTTCTGATTCTTGCCTACATTTGACAGTAAAGTTTTCACTCTTAGCATTTCTAAGAATGGGAGGATGTGACTAAGATGACTCGCACAGTACTCTAGGATATAGAGATGATACCAAATAGTCCTGCCAATCCTTATTTTGTCTACCTCAACCTCCTGGTAAGGGAATCTCTTTGTTTTACTTAGACTTTTTCTATAGCAATGGGAATTTTAGCTGTAATGAGTTGAGCATGAACATCTCTATAGCCCCATCTTCATTCCCTTGAATGATGTGAACTCTGCACAGCAGATGCATTTCTTCCAGATTAAAGCAATGACTGAAGTTTTAGTATATTGGCCTTATTTAGCAGATTCTGCCTGCTAACTCTTCTAATGAGTTACACATGGAAATTATTCCTGTGCAAAGTGGCTAGTATTTGCTTTGGATTCAGATTTGGCCAATTTGGGGGACAGTGATTTGAGTAAGTGATTCGAAGCACTGTCCCAGATTGATTTGGCCAAATCTGATTTGGAGATTCGACTGCTGCTGAACCTCTGAAACAGCCGGGCCCATACCCTGCTCCTCTCCCAGCCCGGCAATGGCTGCCCTGCCCGCCCCAGCTCCTAGCACTTGAAAAGAAAAGACACTGACTCACGGGGTACTGCTGCGTGGGGGATGATCCCCACTGCCCCCACTACCTCATGCTGTGTGGGGGGCTTTGCATGAGCCTCCCAAACCCCCTGCTGTCCTAGTGCCCACCCTGGGCTGCAGCTCTGGCCCTTTAAGAAAAAAAAAAAAAAGAAATACCACAGACTCACCATTCCTGCCAGCAGGGGGCAATCCCTGCTGCTCTGTGCCATGTGGGGGGTCTGTATAAGCCCCCCGAAGCCCTGTGGCCACTGCAGGAGCGGTGAGTCCTGGGGTTTTCTCAGGTTTTTTTTCTTAAAGGGCGAGGCACCCGTGAGGGGGGGCTAGGGGAGAAAGGTGGGGCGGGAGCTCATGCAGAGCCCCCATGCAGCATAGGACAGTGTGGGGCAGTGAGGATTTCCCCCCTGCCTGGTAGCACCCAGTGAGTGGGGCTTTTTTTAAATCATCAGGAGCTGGGGTGGGCAGGGCAGCCATGGAGGGGGGGCTGGTGGAGTGGGCAGAGGTTAGGGGGCATGGTCCTCTCCCACAGTCCCCCCAACCCCCTCCTTCCCTCCTTACCAGCTCAGAGTCTGGCTGCAGCTCCCTGCTGCAACCACTGGGGACTGTCCGAATCATCAAAGGTCTCCAAATATTTTCCAAAGATTTGGAGAGCTTTGAATAGATTCAGACCTTTTAATTGGTCCCTGATTCAATTTGGATTCGGAGATTCAGCCACTGAAATTGGGCCGAATCTCCTCTGAATCAAATCACCACCCAAAGCTTTGCACAGCCCTAATGGAAGTGTATACTGTAATGTGATGCATTGCCATGCAAGAGCAGGATACTGGGCTGGCACTGGATGAGATAGCAGTGTATCAGTCACACAGGTCCTTTGTAAGCAGATAGACAGCTTAAGAGCTAAGAGAATACTACAAATTCCAGTAGCCCATCAAGGTCTTTGATATATGACAGCTAGTGATAGTGCTAGGTTCCACAGAAAGAGGGTTTTATAGAAATACTTCAACTGGGTCTTTGCCTACAGAATCATTCACATTAGGCAAGTTTCCCAAGTGTTCCCTCCTGTTACTGGTTCCATTTCCATTCTTAAATAGTCCATACCAGTGGTGTCCAACTCATTTGGCCATGTGGACTGGACCTGGCCTCTGTGGTTTCTTGTGGGCTGGATGACCATCCTCTGCTGATGGGGTGAGCAGTAGCAGCTTATCAGTGCAGCTGCCAGAGCTGCTGCATTGACATAGTTCCAGAACACCATTGGTAAATGCTACTGCTCCTTGCCTCCCCTTTTTCACCTGTTGCTGATTCTAAATCACCAGCAGTGATGGATGACCCTGATTTCAGTGGTGGGGAAATGGGTAGAGGGTGAGCACCAGCATTCACCCCATGCATTCTGGAGTTACACTGATTCACTGGCTCCAGCAGCTACAATGACAAGAACCATGGGTCACAGTTTAACTGCTTGTAAGCCACAGGTGGCCTGTGGGCTGCCAGTTGGACAGCTCTTTCCAAATAATGTCTTCCTTCCCACTCTCCTTGGAAGACTGTTCTACAGTCTGATGAATCCCAGTCATGTTCACTTGGATTCATTTCTTTTCTTCATTTAATTCATTTATATCACCCTAAAATCATTCCTTTTCTCCTTTAGTGTTATGCACTCTTCAGCTATTTAGCTATGTAGCCTTGTAGTCAAGATTTGCATATTTAATACCAATCTTCCCCATTACAATCACTTTCTTAGGCCCCATAACATTTGTTGTCACTGTTTTCTCGGTCCTTTCTGGTTTGACAATATATTTCACATAACAGGGTGCTTGAAATGCAACGGACTATTGAAGGTGGGATTGTACCAGAGTTGGATATAATGGGACAATTGTCTTAGGATGTTGTCTCTACATATGCAGCCTGTGATTGCTGTATCCTATTGAAAATGTAGGTCTAATTTTTTGTTCACTATAACCTCCCTGCCTCTTTCAACATTCCTGTGTTGCCAGCAGATCCAAGGAGGTGCTTCTCCCTCTCCACTCAGCATTAGTGAGGCCGCAACTGGAGTACTGTGCCCAGTTTTGGGTGCCGCACTTCAAGGAGGATGCGGATAAGCTTGAGAGGGTGCAGAGAAGGGCCACCCACATGGTTAGGGGCCTGGAGGATGGGCCCTATGAGGACAGACTCTGGGAGCTGGGTTTGTTCAGTCTGGGTAAGAGGAGGCTGTGAGG